CCCGCTCTGCCACCGACTAGCAAAGAGACTTTGGTTAAGTCCCTTGAACCTTTGGAGTCCAGTTTTTTCATTCACAGATAATAAGTTCTTTTCAGATTCATACTTCTGCAGATTTAATTGGGTCATAGTGAGGTGCTAATTTCTTTTTGCAGAGTCTCACTGTAACCGCTCCTAGCAATCACCCTTCTGCACAGCTGCACACTAGGCGGGGGTCTTTCGTTACTGGAGCATCTGAAGCACCTGACATGCCCCTTAAACCACCAGCACAAATTCGGTCCTCTCTGCTTTTCTCTCAGGGAAGCCTGTGGCCATACACTGAGGACCCGAGGACGCAGGCGGGAGTGAGGAGGAGGCCTTCCATTCTCCCAAGCCTTGGCTTTCCATGGGGTGACATGAGAAGTGCAGGAGCAGGGGGCCTCCGGGGCACTGCGCCCGCCTGGCCTGAGGTAATGAAAGGCCCGCGAGCACAAAGATGCGCTCTTATCAACGTCAGGATGTATCATCCTTTGTTTTTGTTTTGGGGTTTTTTTTTCTTTTGCACTGGCTTTAATAAAATCGAGTAGGTTAGACACACTGATGTCAAATGACAATATGGCTCTGCTACAGTTTTCATTTCCAGCCCTAGAAAAACCTGAGATGAAGGCAACGTGTGTGAGCTGAGGATCCCTCCACCTTTACCCCTTGAACTTTGAACCTCTGTGCTAGAGGCCTAGGTGGCACTAATAATTTGACAGTTACTGTAGAGAAAAATTACTCTGTTTCAGGAAAAGACAATCTCGGTTCTATAAAAAGCACCAAACAAGTAGGCAAAATTAGCACTGATAAGTTCTTCTGAGGGTCTCCCCACAGACCCCCCCCCCGATTCCCAGAGTGTTCCACCATGGCACTCCATAATGGCAAAAAACAGCTTAAACCTTTGCCCTTTTGTCTCTGTCAAAACCTAAAAGGCCCATGTCCCTCTCCACTAGCACTCAGCTCTGCCAGAAAAGCTGTTACAGCATGAACGTGTGCATATTTACCTTGTCAAAACTGACTTAGATGCAGGTAGAAAAATAAAATGGAATAAATACGTTGATATAAATGCAAGCCAGGCATTCTCCGGGTGTTCAATAAAAGCAGCTGTAATCTCCTCCAGCTCTGGAGGGGAAAACTGCCCTGTTGTGCTTATCAAGGGGCAACAGAATCAGAAAATCCCATCCTCAGTATTTATGGGCCCAGCACCACGTAACTCAAAGCAAAGAACTAACGTGTGATAAGACCTTAGTATTTCATCCCTTAGGAGTCGTCGTTCTGTTTCAGCAGGCTCGTCAGTGCTCAGCACAAAACTGGAGTTACGGTGATTCCCTCTTAGCTACAGGATGCGTGACCGCAGCGGTGTGGCCAGCCTGCCGCATTTCCCTGTCCTGAGCTCCAGCTACAACCATTTGAGGCTTCATTGTGGAACCTACCATTCACTTTCTTTACTTTTTTCTGACTTTACATTTTTCTATTGAAACATTGTAAACTCATAAAAGTAGCATTCAAAAAACAGAAAGTAGCAAAGAGCAATATGTACCTTTTTCTTCTAGATTTTATGTATGTAAAGAGGAACTCATTCCAAACCGACAATTATATTCCCTTCTTTCTGTCTTCACATGATAGCACACACACTTCCTATGACATTAACACTTCTTTGTAGACATCGTCTAAAAGGGTGACGTAATAGACTACCGCATGAATACTTAGTAATGCACTTACAATTCCCTGTGGTGTCCAGCATTTAAGTTGCTTCCGTGTTCACTGGGACAGTGTGTGCTGATCATATGCATTTTATGCTTTTCTGCTGTCATTATGTTGTCACCTGCCTGTCTCATCTTTCCCTCTGTTCTCTGCCTTGTAAACTCCCACTTCCCTTCAAGTCCCAGCTCAAGCCTCACCTGCTCTGCATACTAACCTAGTGGGCAACTAACTCCTCAGAGTTAATTACTTTCTATCCTGGGTTTCTAGATCACTTTGTGTATATCTCTATTACAGTACCATCAACATTGTATAACATTAAGATGTTTGATCATTTCTTCCACCAAAATGTGAGCTTCTTGAGTGTAGAGTCATGTATTTTTCATCTTTCTGATCATATCACCTAGCACAATGCCTAGCACATAGCAGGTACTCAACAGATGTTTGCTGAATAGAAGAATTTCAGGCATTTTAGCAGAGTCTTTGAGGCCCAGAGGTGTTTTTTCCAGCACTCTCCAGAATGTAGTATTCAGAAATTATGTTCATTCATTCTTTCTTCCATGTGCTAGAGGCCTGGTTGGTAGGAATAATTTGATAGATACTATAGAGAAAAAATTATTGTGTTTCAGGGAAAAGAATCTAGTTTGTGATAAAAGCACCAAACCAGTAGCCAAAATTAGCACTGGTAAATTCTTCCTGGGTCAAGGCAAATCAGATTGTGTCAATCCAAATGGCACATCTGTGAAACTTTTCTTCGACCCTGGAAACTACTAGAAATGCAGAAATGACATTTTAATGTCAGTATAAGAAAAGTTTGCTGATTCCCTAACCTCCATTATCTGCTTCACTTTGCTCACTTGAAGGCTCTGGATTGTGTTCCTGTTCATATTTTTGCATGCTTTCATCCAAAGTGTAATGCAAGCTTAGCCCATATTAGTAGACAACATTTAGGAAATAATTGTGTTTGACTTCAAGGTGAATGACCTTTTTAATCAGTTCCTAAATTCATGTAGGTGTTCAGTCTGGGACTTCTCCTCCAAGGAAAAATAACCATTTTTGCTTAGTTCAGACACTCTACTTTTGTCTGTAAATTCTAGGTATTCAGATAACTTTCTGGTCAACTAAGAGAGACTAATGCATGTGATACTAGGCATAAAAGTTTTCTGGTGGTGTGTACTGTGCTATTTCTTTTATAGAAGAAAATGAGATAAGGACAATTAAGTAAACAGAAAAGAAATGGATGAAGGCAAAATAGAAGAAAACTTTCCTCCCACTTTGTACAGAGAAACCACCAGATCCTAGACTTTCTGTTCTAATTAAGCCACCAAAATATGTAACACAGGTCTGGAATTGGTAGAGCTTGAGAAAGAAGCAGGGATGGGAAGAGACAGCATACTGTGTTCTTACTAAATATCTAACTCTTGTACAAAATCCATCTTGGAAATTCCAACCCCCATGAGTCTCTCCTCCTTTCACAACTGACATTCATTTTAGTAAATTGTTATAAAGTATACTTTCGCTTTCACTTTTTAAAAGTTATTTCTCTCTTCCAACTCATTTTAACTTCCTTTTGAAAAGGACTCCAACTTCTCCACCATCGTCCCCTATTAGACCTAGCCAAGTTCTGCACACAGAGTTGGCAGGAATTTTTTTTTAATCTACTCTTTAACCACATAATATCTACACACCTTTAGAATGTTCTCCAAAGTCTCATGAAGAAAGGGGGTGGGCTGAATTGTGTTCTCTCAAAATTCATACTAACCCTCAGAATGTAACTGTATTTGGAGACAGGTCTTTAAAGAGGTCATTAAGGTTAACTAAGGTCATCCAGGTGGACACTAATCATGCACACACACACACACACACACACACACACACACACACAGGAAACATCGTGCATAGACAACGTGAACCCAGCCATCTACAAGCCAAAAGAGGCCTCAAAAGAAACCAATCCTACTGACACACCTTAATCTTTAACTTCCAGCATCCACAACTGTGAGGAAATTGATTTCTGTCATTTAAACCACTCAGTGTGTGGTGCTCTGTTTTGGCAGCCCTAGCTGACTAATACTGGAGGCTTTCTCTCCCATTAATTTCATAGGTAAGTGGTAAAAGATTTTGCAATTTGTGATTAACAAGATAAACTAACAAGGCATGAAATCTCATTTGTTTGCAGTAGTGTTTTCTTCCCTGTGTAAGAAAACATTCCTAAATTCAAAATTCTTACCCCTGAATCTCAGACATTTGCACACGTTTATGTGAATACTCATAATCCGTTAACTAGCTTCACCATGGCTTCCGCTTTCATTATACTTGTTTATTTCTGAAAGCCAGAGGATTATTTCTAAACCCCAGGCACAGAGTGAGTCCTTTGTGTGAACACTACCTCGGGATGAGGCTGCCTGCTACTCCAGGCTTTCTGCTGACCCACCTCCCACCAGGTAGAACAAAGGAGAGAGTCTGACCTCTGTAGCCGTTTTGTCCCCACGCTGGCTGTGGCTCTGCTGCTGAGGTGTCTGGCCTCCCAGGCGAGGACTTCCTGGCTTTGCCGACACTTTTCCTCCTCTTGGGTCTTCCTTGAAGCCATGGCTCTACCCTGCTGTTCTCAGCTGAGCAGCATGTGCTGCCGCCATGACCTCCGCAGCCCCATGGGACCCCCTTGCCACGTGAGGTGAGGTCACACTATGTCCACCAGGGGATCACCAAGGAGATTCTCTACCCGGGCTTTGACCAATTAATTGAACATAATATTCAAGCAAATGACTTCATTCAGTACTCTATTTGGAGGAAAAGTAGAAATTATTTTTCCCCAAATTTCTTCAAAATAAAGCCCAGGCAGAAAGGTAATCCAGCCAATCCTTAGAGACTATAGTGAGCATCACACATAAAGATTCAAATGTGCTAAAATAAATGACAGGATGCCTATTTTTTAGTCACACGATATTTTCCACGCTCGCCTCTGTGTTCACAGAGCCTCAGTGAAAGGCCGCCCAAAGAGAGCCCACGTCAGGGCCAGTCAGTCCACTCTCTGCCCCGATAAACTTGCCCATAAACACAGGGAACGGTGCTCCCCACACCATAAAACGGAAGTATTTCAATAAACCCATCATGATGGTCTGTCTGCCGACCAGTAAGCCACGGACACATCCAAGTTTCCATTGTATCTTGGTAAAAACCAAAATAAATTTAATTTCCTAGATTCATAATCCCAGTCATGGGATTTAACCTTAGGAATTAAGGTTAACTGATTAAGAAAAATAACCCAAAAGAAAGAACAGGTTACAAATGTTTATTTCAGCATTATTTGGGATGGTGATACAACTATCCAAAAATAGGAAAAAGATAAAACAAAGTAAGATATTTGAACTTAAGGGTATTATGGATTGATTTCTGGAGTCATATAGTGAAATAGAATAGATATTGCCTTAGAATACATCAAAATATAGGGCAATTTGGTAGGATTTCCTATGCACACACTAAGGAGAAGAAACTACTGCACCCCACACCCTGCTTTCCCAGAAAAAACACTAACTTTTGTATGTGAGTAAACAGCTTTGCTGGATAAAAGCGGGGCCTGGAAAGGCTGGAGATGGTAGGTTGCCAGAATCCCATTGGAAAAGGGAAATGGGGACCATATGTAAGCCATAAACATTCTGGCCTCTGGGAAGAACACTGGGAGTGTTAGACACTAATAAAGGGGGAAGGAAGCCGTGTGGGGACAGCGCAGGACCAGCTGTGCCACAGATGGTCCAAATGGCCAGTTGGACCAGTCAGGAGCTGTCCTTGAACACATGCATATGGAAAAGAGCTGGAAAAGAACACAGTAAATAAAAACAGTTGGTCAGTTAATGTAGTAAGATTATGGATCAGTCTTTCCCTTTACCATTTCTTTTTTTATTGATACCATTGTACAAGAAATATTTCAGACACATATTCCAATAGACCTCTAAAGAGTGGCATGCCTTGGTTGATAGAAACACCATGAACCCTATTTATGATATAGATCAGAAACAGACTCCCAGCTACAGGGGAGTTGGCCTGTTCAATGGCCAGGAAAGAGTCCTGTTTTCATTTATCAACATTTTAAACATCCCCTGCCTCCTTCCCTTTCTGAGGCAGTAACCAGGGGAAAATAACCCCCACAGACATCTTGGCTTCTTGCACTGCGATCTTGTGTCTCCTTTGCCATTCACCCCACTGTGCCGCATCTCAGATTTTAATGTGGTTGTTTGTCACATCCAAATAGCTGGCTCTGTTCCAGCATTTAGGCCAAACTGTATGGTGTCAAATTCCTCAGCACCCATCTTTTAGTGACATTCCTTTGGTGAAATCCAAGACATACCTACTGGCAATGAGGGTCAAGTGTTGGAGTTTATTAACTTAAATAGTCCCTTCCCCTTTAGAAACATCTAGACACAGAAATGAGGAAGAATAATTCAATTAAGTTCCTCCTGGGTTTTATGCTAATAGCCTAAATTCTGGGAAAATGGTCATACTGCCAGGACCATCATTGTTTTAGAGAATTTGTTAATATTAATATTACCAAAATGCAAGCAAATTATTCATGCAATAAATAGTCATTGAGACCTGCATTGGGTACAGAGTACTGACAGTGCTAGGGCGAGAATCCAGGTGAGCTCACTCAACCCCTAGATGCCCCACCTTGATCTGGACACTGCACACTTCTCTCCAAACAGAAGGATAGCAATGTTTGCACTCTTAGAGTCATTTTGGATGCCTAAAGTTGCAAACTTAGGGTCATTTTGAATGCCTAAAGTTCCCTGTTTCTTCAAAACAACAGCCTCGTAACCCTCCCTAGGGACTGTACTTTCCACAACATCACCTGGCAATCCTACTCCCCATACAGGCACTTACACTTCTAGTTGCTTTTTATTTCCATGTGTTTAGCCACAACTAAAAAGCTCTCCTTTAGAGGAATGTTTTCAGTAATTGTGCTACCAACTTCCAACTTGTTTCCCTAAGCCATCAGCCTTTCTCTCTTCCCCACTGTGAAATTGACTAAAAACAGCAGGAAGCTGGCAGGTTTTTGTATAAAGACCAGACATAGCATAAAAAATGTCTGAGGTTTTTTTCTCTTTTAACACAAGGCATCTTCCAGTACATCTTTTATTATTATTATATTATCATTGTTCACTAAAAGTTTTTGTTATCCAAAAAGATAATTCAGAGCTAATGGCTTTATTCAAGCAATTGTTCTCAAGTGGAGCTCTCCTGGGGAATGACTTACACCCTAAACACATTAAAATCCTTTGTTGAAAATAGGGTACATAAAAATGGTTTCTTCTGATTTTCCTTACTCATTTGAGTTTATTCAACCCCTAGCACATTTTAGTGGCAGGACACTTACACTGTGACACTTGAAAAGAAAAATAAAGGAGAGGACACAGAGCTTTATAAAAATAGCATCACTGGCATAAGTAAACACACTCAGGGAGGGGGTTATTAGCCTCATCTCCACCAAGCCAAGCACAATGCCTGGCATACAGCAGATGCTCAGTAAGTGTTTGCCAAATAAATTAATGAGTGAGCAGGTACTGTGCCCTGGCATCAGCTCTTCATTGGAAGAATGGCGAGGTAGAGGTGCTCAGTCGGTAGCCACACCGTGTCCCCAGCCCTGGCCTGCTGGGGGCAGTGGAGGACGCCACACTGCAAAGGCTCACCGCATGTGCTGCAGAGGCCCTTGAAGTGACTGTGGACGGGCAGGGCCTTTGAAAGCTATGTCCAAAAAGGGTTCCTGGGTCCCCTCAAGAGTTTTAGCTTGGGGTTCCCAACTGGAGTCCTGAGCCCATTTTGCAGCTTTTCCCATAGGTTGCTGCACAGATGCCCAGCAGCTTCTGTGTCTAACCATATTCTTTTGTTCCCCAAATTATGTTTCCAGTCAGAGAATGTTCTGGATTTCAAACATATTTCCCATTTTCCCTTGAATGGCACCCTGTGGCATCTTATAGAAATCTCAGAATAAAGCTATCTACTCTCCCCCAAAACATGCACTACTGCTCATGTGACCCAATATAGGACTCACTGCTTCTGCATACAAGGGGCGCCCCATCCACCCTCAACAGTGAACTCCCCGCCAGTCCTTGAACTCCTCCATGCTTTTGTGAGTGCTCTTTCTGGTGCTAGTTTCCTTGCACCAATATCTTGTTGGAAAACTACTTATCCCTCTATGATCTATTGCATGTCACCTCCTCTGCTTACCTCTCCCCACTCCTCCAGAATGGTGTGAGCACCCAGAGAACTTAGTCCAGGGACTCAACTTGCACCTGTGACTAAGCCACTAGCTTATCTGTCATTGTGACTGTGACCGGCCTCCCACCAGGTGGTTCTCAAGCCCAAGCAAACCTCCAAATTTAGGGGAGATGTTAAGACAGACATTCCCAGGCCTCACATCTGGAGATTCAGAGTTAATAGGTGTGGGGTGGCACCAGGAACACTGAATTTCTGAGAGCTCCTGAGGGGATTCTGGAGGTCAGGCACACGTGGAAACTCACCCTAGGTAATACTCCCCTGTTCCAGCTTTCTCATCCGGCATATGGCGTAGCATCAGCAGACAGTAGAAGGTCCATCTTTGTTTGTTGGGTGGAGGTGTGGGCGAGTAGACAGACAGATGTCCAGTGGGTGCTGGGAGAAGGTGAGATATTCTGAACTACTGCAAGACAGAGAGGGGCCCCAAAGAGAGTACCAGATTAGCTCAGATCCTCTGGAAATGGGCGCAGAACTGGGTCCCATCCCCGCCCCCAGACAGCCGTGGCTCCTCCGAGAGGCAACCAGGCTTCCTCTAATTTCTGACAGAGTCTCTCTTCTCCCTCTGTTCATTTCCTCCCACACTCCCCCACCTCAAGGCTTTCATAGACCAGCAGCTTCTCCAGCCCCCCCAACCCAGGCCCCTAATCGGAGGAGGAGTGGAAGGAGGGAGAAGCGGAAGAGGAAAGGAGAGGAGAGGTCATAGGGTACGAACCACAGACCTGAATAACCCGGCTGAACACCAGGGGCCTGGCAAGTGTCCTATGAATGGGTCCCACCATCCAAAAGGCCTGGTGAGATCTCTGAGTCAACCCTGGGCAGGGAATCCAACCAAACACAAAAACTAACTCCAGGAAGGTGAGGAAAGCCTGGAGTTGGAGATGTGTATGGCTGGCTTCCTCCCATGGTGCTGTCTCTGCCACAGGCAGTCCCTGCCGGCCCCCTGCACAGCTCCCCTGCCATCTGGCAGCATTTGGAGCCCCCGGGGTACTCTCTTTAAGAGCCATTGAATCCACAATTTAAACTCCACAGCATTTCCAATGTAAAAAAGAGTAATGCCTGATTTAACTTTAGTGCCTTGCGCTTTACAGGGAGAAGGAAGTGGAGGCTAGAGGCTTCATGCCTTCCCCACCAGCAGTGCCATCTGCTGCTGTGGGGAAAAATGCCCAGTGTGCTGCCTTTCTGTGTGATTACTCCTGGGCATGAAAATAAAAGCAGCCTACATTTTCTCCCCAGTCTGCCAGCCTCTTCGCATCTTTGGAAACAAGCTCTCTGATACTGGGCAACTTGACAGGCTGCCCTGTAGCAAACATCAGGTGTCACAGGCACAGCACAAGAACAGGAGGCTCTAGGGAAGCACTCAGGACACTCAGGTGTGCCACCCAGGGACCCTCCAGTTAGCATGCGAGCATCAGGGTAGATTAGGTCCCAATACATGGCTCTCCAGGGTCTTTCTGTGTTTCTATGCGTATTTTCACATGGAGAATTCATGGGCTATTTCTACAGACAAATCTTACCTCCTTGGAAAAACAATGACAAGATTAGCAAAAATAGATACATCTAAATAGATATCACTGAAATTCTAAATAAAGTCATAGACATCTCAGCACCGTCCAACAGTTCCCAGCAGGCACACCCCCCACAGTCGAGAGGAGGATGCAGATCCCCTGATGGTAGAGAGCCAGCTGGCTTCTCCCACCCTTGCCACCTGCAGACCCTGGAGTGGCCTGGCCCGCCCACATGGCCCACTGCACCCTGGCCTGTGAAGACCTGAGAGCCCTGGAGGGGCTGGCGACATGAGTTAGTTTGGACTTCACTGAGTGTATCTCATTTCAAAGTGAAGGAATTAATCATGGTATAGCCTGAGGCAGTAAGCGAGTACTCCAGTGGTCTGTATAGACACATGTATTATGAACAGCCATGCAATCTACATGCCAGGCTCTGTGCCCTCTCTGGGATTCCAGCCACAGTTAGCCATTTGGCACCACTTAGCCCTGAAACACTGAAACAGCAGGCTGGACCAAGGAGACTGACTGAACAGCAGCCTAGCTCAGGGACCTGCCAAGCAGGCACAGTCCTGACCTAACTGAGCTGATCAGATCTCATTGCTTACACCATTTAAGAGCCCAGCATTTTAAAAAAAAAAAAAGCAGTTGGTAGAGGGGATAAAAACATTTTGCTTACCAAATAAGCAAAGTTTATATCTAATCACTGTGGTGTCAAAAAGAAATATTTTGGAAAGAATTAGCATTCATTTTATTTTGTAAAACATTAAAGTAATTATCATAGGGAAAAATCAGAACTTTCTCTAGACTTATTTATATTTATCATAAAACATCATACAGCACTTACTTTGAAATTGAGATGGGGGGAGCAGCCTACATATTTTCTGGTCTAAATGCCTTAATGTGAACCTGAAAAAATACACAGAGGAGCAGGAAGAGGTCCTGAAGCAACAGAAGTCAGGGACAGGAGAGAAGAGAATATCAAGCAGCCAGAGGTGGGGCAACAGGTGCAGGGTCAGAGAGCTGCTGAGTGCCTGTGTCAGGAAAGTAGGGGTGGACAACTTGAAGAAGGGAGGACTCGGGAGGCCCCTGATGATGGTGTCCTGTGTCACAAGGACCATCAGATGGAGGAAAGACTGGTACTGTTTCATATGCCAAAGGGAAGAAATAGGAACATGGACAGTAAAGATTTTTGTTCAACATTTGGAAGAGCTTTTAGAAAATTTGAACTTTGTCAGAAGATGGAGTAGTCTACTTCATGAGGTAGTGAGCTGTTTCTCATTGAAAGTGTTCAAGGAGAAACATGATGGTGCTTTGACAACAATGTTTTAAAGAGAATGTTTAAGAACCATTTCAATTCTGAGTATATTTGAGGGACAGGCTCCTTCCATCCATGACCATTCCTGTGTAGGGAGTACAGATTCTGCAGTCTGACTACCATGCTAAGGAAGGTACTGAGCTCTCTTTTTGAAAAATTTCTAATCTAGAAGTTGAGAATACAGTAGTACCTTTATGACAAAGATGTCATGAAGATGAAATGAGATCATTCAAATAGAGAATTTAGAACAATGTGTGGCACCTAAAAAGCATGTATATGAAGACACTCATTGTTACTAGGAATTTGGTCTCCAGCACTTGCTTCAAAGTACTCGTGGTCAAACTAATTCTAACTGTGAATGGAATATGTGCTCATCATTAAAGGAAACAAATATTAGAACTCTTTTGCTTTATGTGTTATTAAATTAAATGAATGATGAAAAATGGCTCTAGGTTTGGGGATATACCTCTCTCATCTTTTATAAAATCAAGTATGACTTTAAAAAGAACAAAGAAAGACAGACCCAAAGGCTATAATTTTTGTCCATCATTGGTTCAGTAAATATCTGGGTGTGTGTGTATGGGGGGGGCGGCCTACATCCTGGCACTGTACTAGATACACCCAACACAACCAAAGAAATAACTTTATTTCAAGGAACTTACTTCAGTTAAGAAATCAAATAAATAAGATTATAACAGATACAGGGGATAAACAGAATTTTGTGATGGGTATTAAAGGGTGTAGGGAAAATGGAGGTTCCATGGCCAGGATCCTCACCTGATCCTAATCTATCTACTGTTTGTGTGCAATGATATAATTTCTACTGTGCTCCACAGGCGCGTGATTGCATACCTGTTGGTGATAAGCCATTATTGCCTGTGTTAATATAAAAAGTTCCCCCAGTGCTAAGAGCAGAGCTAGAGAAGAGAGCAAGAGAGCAGAAGAGAAGAGAGGAGAGGCTGGAGGCAATGGCAGAGGCTGAGCCAGAGGCAGAGATGGAGCCTGTGGGATTCTAGTGCACAACCTGCTGCAGTGAGAATAAAGCTTGGTATAAGCGCCTTTTCACCCACAATGTTCTGTTGCTGTTATTGGGTTTCAGTGAATCCAGAGTGAATTTGTCCAGGGCTGAAACCCTCAGGTGAGACAAATGGGGAAAGGTGGAATGTCTGTACATGGTGGAAATCCTCAGGAAGGGACAGATTCCTTATTCCACTTGGAATGCAAACAAGATTCTACAAGATGCAAACAGCTAAAGCAACCCTTTGTGCCACAGAAAAAGAGGAGAAATGAAGAAATGGAAGAATCTCTGTTTAATGTCCTAGGTTTAATACTAAAGATAACAATAGAGTGGCCATTTTTACCACAAGAGAAGCCTCTGCAATGTTTTAGTCGTGTCACCTCAATTTAATTATCTATTCCATTTCTCTACAGCCTCCTAAAAAATTAAATTTCTCACTTTTCTGATAGTCAATTCTGTTTTAGAGTATTAATAGCACCATGATAACTAAAACTAATACCAAAAATTTCATTTTAGACAAAATGTCCAATTTCCTCAGCAAATCTTTAGTAACTAAGATATCTTTTGATGGGCTAGACTAAAAAGAAACCAGAGATTGAAGGAGACATAAAGAGATCTAAACCATATTCTTTTTGGACTTTCAATTCCCACACAATAAAGTCCCTGGCTGAGTGATTTATTAGTCAAAATAACTGGACTATTCTGACAAAGTATCACAAATCTTCAAATCTCAATGGCTTAGAACTCGTCTAGGAGATTCAAGATGGTGGCATGAGAAGTGAGACAGAGAACTCCTCCCAAAACCAATTATAATATGAAAACATATTTAATACAACTAATCCTAAAAGAGCAACATGAAAGAAGGTTGCACCAGACTGCATACACCTGGAGAACAGAGTAGACCTCACGAAACAGGGTAAGTACCAAAGCCTTGATCCAGTGGGACCCAAGCCCTTCCCCCCCCCAGCTCACTGGTGGGAGGGAGAAAAACAGAGCAGGGAGGGGGTGGGAGTCTAGGACTGCTGAACACCCAGCCCTGGAGATCTGCTTTGGAGCACAAACCTACATTGCATGGTACTCTAAAGATTAGTGGGGTTGGAAAGTTAAGACAGGTGGAATACTTGGAGAGACTGATTTTCCAGTGATTTCTGGAGGACAGGGATCCACATCCAGCCACCCTGGGACAAAGGAAAGGCCAGTGGTATGAGAGGCTTCCTAGCAGTGAGAGGGCTGCTGAAGGGGCGGGGTTTGCATGGAGCTTGCTGTGGGGGAGAAGGGATTGGTGGACAAGGATGTCCGGGCGTGCTCTGCCCAGCAGGTTGGGAACTTGCAGGAACTTCAGGCACTCCACCACCCCTAGCTGGCTATTCAACAACGAGGCCACCCAATGTGATACGCAGCCTGCTGCACCTTCCTCCTGGCCTGCCGGCACTGGCTTGCAAACTGGTACTCCCTGCCCTGGTGTCAGACAAGCCAGAGGAAGGCCCCACCTAATGTAGCTACAGACACAAAGCACAGAGGCATATACCTCTGTGCTCGGCCAGCTGGTTCTGACAGTGGAGACA